GTATGTATCAGTTGACCAACATGAACTATGGTAATCAACGAGTTAATACGATTTACACAGATTCTTTACTTCATCTTGCACCACAAAGGACTGAAACATCAAACCGCACATATCGCTCAGCAATAACAGAAAAAGATTTGAACTTTGGGAAAAGATATTGATATTTTTAATTGTTGGACAGTACACTTTTGAAGAAATATTGCACGAAATGGGCTCAGCCGACGGAACATTAGACGAGAGCACCCGCCGACTCCTCCCGATCGCGGTATGAGTAGGAGGCATGGACCGCACACATCTTAATGCACACGTCTTAACACGACGTAACGGCACACATGCACCGACCCTCTACCCACCGATTTCAACGGTATTTAAACACAGACAGGGAACCAAAGAACATTGAGCTTATCTATCCGGTTGAAGAAGCCGCGTTACAAGTGGCGAAACGCATCCCGGTTTCTGGACACTTTTGTCCTTTTATTTATTTTATAGATTGTTATACTAAATTTATTTTGTATTTATTCTTTGATCCTGGTTCCCGGATTTATCTTCCACAGATGGGAGTGCAGTCCCTAATCTGCACAACTCTTATGAATTGAGTCATTTTCTTTGACTCCAGGCTTGTAAGTACCCATTTGGGATTTTCTATTCTAAACTTAGATCATCACTAGCAATATTGCGCAATCTTTTGTGCTTTTATACCCCCTTCAGGACAAGATCCACATCGGTAATAGGGGTGGGTCACCTATACGGACCCAGAAACGATCCAAACCAAAGCTGGGTCCATAGCTCTCCATTTGTGAGTGCATGTATACTATAACTATAGACATTACCTTGTTATATATTGTCTACACTATGTCTGATTGTCTTTTATAGATACTTATTTATTCGACATCCAAGTGAGAATTCTCCTCCTAACTAAACCAAAAGGTGATAATCCATTCATTACATAAGCGCTACATTCTTTTCTTGTTTGTAACTGGAGGGAAATGAGTTTATGACGAGGGGGGGGGGGGTGAGAGGAAGTGGTACATAGGCACATGGTCAGTTATTGGCAAGGATGGTTGGGTTCACTGTATGACACTATGTGTTAAGTTATATGCATATATATATGTTAATTTATGATTATTTATGTTTAACGTTTTGGTTACAGAACTGAAGAGAAATTTATTAAATAAATTATGGATGTGTTATACAGTATTTGTCATATGTTATAATAAATGCTGTGGCCTGTTTCATCCATACTACGTTGTCTGTCATTATTTTGGAAGGGTGTTGAATTGGGTTGGTTTATGTATTATGCTGCATCGTGATTCCCCACTACGTACAATACTTTGAAAGCCTGCCATCAGTCATTTGAATATGCAGAGGTATAACCTTGTTATGCATGACAGGCGCCAATCCCCTCCCCCCCATCATATCTAACCCAATAAGACAAGTACACTAGGTATATGAGTCAATATGCCCACAGCATTTATTAATAACAATAACAACACTTATAAATAACATAAATTATTTAACCTTAACCTTTCTCTCACTAACTGCTGCTGTGAAAAAACAGGAACCAAATCCCCAGGGATATCTAACCCAGAGGGAGGGACTAATTCAGCCAGGTAAGCAAGTTAAAAGTGAATGTAACAACAAGCACAGTATGACTGCAAAGGACAAATGGATTATACGGCCGTTCGGTATTTTTTGTAAGCATTCACCATGCGAATGCTTACCTGCCTTAACAGGCCACCCTGACTGCTAATTATGGCCAATTTACCTCCCTGGTTGATGGGCACTTTATTCGAATCAACCGCACGAACGCTATGGGAACTGTAAGCTCAGCCACCATTTCGGGACTTACACGTGTTCGCGGCCATTTTAACTCCCGAACAGCGGTGTTTGCCGATGAATGTCTGGAACTAAAATCGGACACTCAAACAGGCGAACACTGCTGAGACCTCCATACCTTCAGGAAAACATCGCCAAATCTACCGAACGACCGGGCGTTCGGTAGAAAGAATTAGCAGCAGATGGTGATTTCAACGAACCCAGGATGGTATACGGATGTTCGGCAGTTCGGGAGTTTTTACCCACGTTCTTAGACCGACTGCAGGGCCAGCATTCATGGAACTGTTTTCGGCTACTGTGCCCGTGTGGTCGGTCAAAACTTCTAAGTCCTATATCTCCCGAACGGCTGAACCGATTGAGCTGATTTTTACATATGTTGGTACCAAGTATTTGGGGTACATCCAAACTTTGGGGAAAAACTGTTCCTTTTTAATTATGTTATGTAGTTATCTGAGGGGAGGGAATTTACCGAATGTATATTGTATGGATTGGTTGTACTGCTAATTATGTGGGTGTCTCCCTTGCATGGGCAGAATCACATAAAAGCAGAGTGTCTGTCAATTAACCCTCAGTTCTTCTTGACCCTTCAAAACGTAGCCTCGTCTCGTTCTTGAAAGGGGAATCTCTGCAGCTTAATCACTAAGCTCTTTTCAGAGCTACACCTGGCTTCCACTCCTGATCCAGCAGAAGGAAATAGGCGACTCCATCACTACACAGCGACTGCCGGGAAGAAAAGGACGTCCCTAACGGCTGGTACCCTCTCTACACCAGGGTAGCCGTTACAGTGAACAATATTAAAATGGCTGCCTATTTATACTAGCTCCATAAGCTAGCAAACGAAGAAAGACCTGTTTCAGAAACTCCACCACGCTAAATGTGGAGGTTTTTGTCATTAAAAAAAGTAGTACCTATTTTTTATTCATTGGTGCAAATGAAATAGTATATTAGCTCAAACGAAAATTGTTAGGAAAACTGCTGTGGCACTTTTGATAGATACCTAATTTCTCCATTAAACTTGAGCATTCGTTTATTTCTTTAATTGCAAGAAGGGAGTTACCAGCTTCCTCTTGTAATTTGATTACAACGCCATAGAGGATGGATCCCCATATTACTATAAGGGAGATTGATATCCTTCCTCATGCCCCCATCCACCATCCCACAGATAGAGGCACATCTACTCAAAGGTGGGGACTTCCTCATGGCCCCAGCCACCATCCCACAGGTAGATCCTTTGTATGGAACTGCACTCACTCCCATCAATTAGAGCCAGGGAACTTACTGTGACCGGAACCAAACACCAGATTCAAAACGTTGCTGTGGTTCCAATAAAGTGCCTGTATTGGACCAATGAGTGCTTGGACCCCTTTTTATTTTATTCCATCCCACAGATAGAGGCATATCTGTCTCAAAAGGGGGGGACCTGGCAGAGGACCTGGAGGCATGTGTGGGTTAGTACTAAAATATACAAAGAGGGTGAATATACTTTTGTCCTACCTTGCAAAAAAGTGGCCTGGTGCAATAGGTCCTCTCTTGTTATTATATTTAGAGCCCCATCTGCCATCAAGAGGTGAGGACTGGGGGTGGACAAAGGGACTCTTCTCCATTTATTATTTAGAACCTACCACATGCCGGCAGTGCATCGGGGATGAAGTGGACAACAGGTCCCTCCCTGTTATTATAGTTAGGCCACTCACACTCTGCCAATGGGTGGGAGCTTTGTGTTGACAATAGGTTCCTCCTCCTGTTATTATTTAAACCACCACCAGGCCTGGTCTGGCCATCAGGCAAACCAGGCAAATGCCTGTTGGCAGTGATGCCTACGGGCCGCAGCTGACAGGGGATATCAGGAGATCTCCACTGCTGGCCCATGCAGGGCCTGCTCTATCGAAGCAATGGCTTTGGTGTGTGCCATGACAGGCCAGTGGGGATATCAAAGACTCCTTCTCACAGGGCCACTTTAATAAAAAAATGCCCATTTAAAAAAAAAATCTGGGTATCTCCCCCCCGATTATTTAACTTAGGTCCCCCACCCGCAGCCATAGCTGCCCAATTGCTAGTCTCTTTTATGGGAGTGAGCAGCCATTGTCTGTGTGTTGTTTTGTTTAGGAGACAACACGCACTCCTACATGCAGCATGGCTTATTGGAGCATGAGAGAGGATTTAAATATCCTTTATATAATTCTACTCATTAATAGCAACAACTGATAGACCAAAATTAAGGAATACACTTTTCTTAATTTTCAGTTGCTTAGTAGATAGCTCCTTAATAATGTTGGTCTCCTTATGTGAGATTTGCATAAATAATGGAGCTATATACTAAAGATACGTGGTGCCCTTAAATATGGCAATCCAACATAGGTTTACCAGTTTAGGGAGTTATCTGCTAAACAGTTGTAAGATGCAGGATGGGTCACAGAATTTCATTAGTCTGAATTAAACTCTTACTGGAAAATATTGTCTACATTTCATCCAAACCAAACAGTACAAAGGACGACAGTTGGTTCAGATGAAGAAAAAATATTTTCGTCTGAATATATTTGGAAGAATCTTAATTTTCTGTTGTGTCCAAGTCTATTGTCATCCACGAAAGATTTGGTGATTGGTGAATTAACCTCAAACTGTTGCTATGGAAAATTATCTGATGTGACTGTTTTCACAAATTATTGGTTTTATTTTTTTACCCTAAATTTTATAATTCTGTTTTATATAAAAACTGTCACATTGATTAACTGTTCTGCCTGTTTTATGGGAATGCTCCATTTTCTCATGTTACTCCAACTTTATACATCGGGAAGATTATTGTCTTTAATGCTCCAAAATGGCAAATGAGACAGAAATGTGTCAAGAAAATAATGAATGCACCACTTTTTATACATCTCCCTCTTTGTTTCCAGAGCAGTATAATGCAATATTGTGGTGACCTACTTGTTAACTCAGTATCACATTGTTCAGAATCTGGCAACCCTTCTTATTAAACCAGGTACAGCTGTGTGTGGGGAGGGGTCCTGACTATAAAGCTAATCACTGAGGGAATTGACCTTATACAGAGATAGCGGCAGACCTTTCCTGATCCACACAGGCCAGAGACCCCCCAAAGAGGAAACAAGAAGGATCTTTGCTGGGAGTCTAGAGATTTAGGAGCTTGTTTTCTGATCTCTCTGATAATGGATACACCAGGTAAGTGATCTCTGTGTTTTGTGTTTTGGAAGCTCATCCTGCAGGGCTGTATATACTGAGCATTACTAGGGAGTATCTCACTTTATAGCTGATTACTTCTGTGATGGTCTTAGAAGTTCCTCACTGACTCTGTTACTGTTTGACAGAACTCATCCATGATATTAATAGGGACACTATAGTCACCAGAATCCCTACTACTTAAGGCAGTGGTTCTGGTGATTATACACACCGGTTTCTCAATGTAGATACAATGTATTTCTCTCTTCCTCTCTAGGTGCAAACCCTCAGATGGCCACTAGAGGTGCTTTGTGTCTACCCTCAGTCTCAACACTCTGCATGGTGATCGATGCAGACACATAGTGATAGAAGGGTTACTCTAGTACCCAAACACCTGGATTTAAAACCTAATCTGTGCTGCTAACCTTGCAGCTTGTTGCTGAAATCAGGGCCAAATCAAAGTATAGAAAACTTAGAAACCAAATCAGTTTAACTAGATGCCAAATGTGCACATGGGGTGTGTGGGTTTTTTTTTTTTTTCTTAATGTTGGCATTGACAAAGTGGAAACACTGTATTCTTGTTGGTGCTTCAAATAAAGTGTGGCATTTAGTTACTCTTCCTAGGTTTCAATCTCTGAGAGACTAATTGATTCAGTGTTTGTGCAAGGCATACCCACCAGCCTCCTAAATGCTTTCCTATGGGGAAGCATTGGATGGGCTGATATCGTCAAAACTGATCTCAACCACAGACTGGTATGGGAGAAAAAGTGATCAAAATCACCTTGTTGGAGTGATCCAAGCAGGTATTAGAATCAATAATACATGTTTGTATTTCTGACACTAGTGTTCCTTTCAATAAACTCTCTGAATTAATGTCTGTAATTCAAAATGAATCCTCGGCTGACCTGGTGGAAATCTTTACTGTTTGGCTATAGTCTCAGACATTTCAAATTCTGACACTTCTCACTGTAATGCCAAAAGCTGCTGGTAGGGTAGCACATTAAAAACCCAGGACAATGGGACAGCACCTTAAAACTGCATAAATTGTTAGTAAGGCTCCTAAAACATCTCAGTACATGTCAGCTCCTGGCCACTGATCCCTCTAAAATAAATGTGTCCCTCTTTGTCCGTTTGGAACTCTGTGTTCTGGAAGGGTTGTCTCCTGTGCACTTTTTTTATTGAACGGTTTACAATATTCAATATCTTGACTTATGGTCTAAATCCCTTGCAGTTGTGGCTATAACCTCTTCCTACTGACTTCCAGATACCCTCCTGTTTGCTGTGAAGGATTACGTTGCCAGAGCTGGATTACCACCCAAGAATCTTCTGGATAACTTTGATGCCAGATCTAGCATTGTAGGGAAGCTGAATAATGTCAGTAAGATTGCTTTTAACCCAGAAGGGGTGCTGTTTGCTGTGCGTGGTACAGAGCTTTTCATGGGAGCTATGCCTTCAGATCCAAACCTGGACTGGTTCTCGACTGCCAAGAGAGTGGGCAAAACTGACTGGGATGGGTTTAAATTCATTTTCTTTGATCCAAATGGCCTTCTGTATGCAGCTACCAAGAAAGGGGAGTTCTACAAGGGTCCAGCACCAAGCAATGAAAACGTGTCCTGGCTTTATGGCCAAGCCACCAAAATAGGAACCGGCGGCTGGAATGAATTTGATGCCCTTTTCTTTGACCCTAAAGGCATCCTGTATGCAGTGAAAAGTGATGACAAGCTTGTGATGAGGAGCCCTCCAACCAAACCAGACGATAACTGGCTTGATTCTAGCAAAACCACTGGAAAAGGAGGCTGGCGCATCCTGACCCACTTCATGGCTTTCACCCTAGAGTCAGACCTGTGGTGTGTGGATTCAAAGAATGGCAACATCTATAAAGGACCAGCCCCGACCATTGCTGATACCAACTATATTGAAAAGGCAGAGAAACTGGGCTGGGGTTACAATGTCTACCCCATCCTTTCCTTCACCATTGATAAAACCATGCAGAGTATTGTGAGCTTTGAATTCTTGCCAGATTCAGGGAAAATCCTATCCCAAGGCACAGAGGTGGTGCAGACCCAGATCTATAACAACAAGAGCAGCACTCCCTTAAAGCACACCTTCTCGTAAGTAATGGAAACCTTATTGTCCTGCTTGCTCATGCCTGCTGGCAATGCTTGTACTGGTGTTAGGAAGGTAAATGCCTGCAGTGTATAAACCATACTTGGAATGCTCAGGTCTGAGTGGTGGATAGACAACATCTCTAGTTATATTCCATGATCTAGATGGCTGAAATGAGACTGGGTAAGTATGCCGAGGACATTGAAGAATAAGGGTGTTCATATGGCTTTTCCTTTCAGCCATTTAGTAGATGGCTCCCTAACTTCCCCCTCACGTAGCACTGCCATGAAGGAGTAATCTGCAAAACTGCACTCCCTATGGTATAATGGGCCTATGAATTTCAGAAGGCATCTTTATTTTTATTTTTTTCTCCTTACCACTTTCTGATTTTTAAAACAAACTGAAATTTGAAATCTAGATCTCATTTTTATCCTTACTCAAAAAAGCCAAACTAATCAACTGGGTGGGTATGAGTGGAGGTGGTGGTAAACTAGCCTGAGTCGTGATCCAAATATTCCAGTCTATCAAACTATTAATGACTGGCTTCTTTCTAGCTTCTCCAAAACTGTAACTGAGAGCAGCAGCTTCAGCCAGGAACATGGATTCACGGTGGCTGTTGGAGCTGAGATGTCGTTTAAAGCTGGCGTCCCATTCATAGGGGAAATGGAGACCAAGATTTCCATCAATGTGAGCACAACTCATACCTGGAATTTCACCACAACCAACACTACACAGGTAAGCATGGCTTGTATAATGGAAGGGAGAAGGTGGTATCTGGTTTCTGATTATACTTGGCATACTGACTAGTGTGATAACAAAACCCACTCAGCTATTGGGTTTATTCTTCAACTGGCTTCAGTTTCTTTCTCGTGTCTCTCAATGTATGACTTGGATCAACACTGGTTAAAGACATTCTGACTTGGTAGTTGTGGGCCCTGTTACTGCTGCTCTAATAAGGCAGATAGCTGGGTAAGTACCTCGCTAATTGGCCTTGGTCAGTGTACTCTTGCCCAACCTGCATAAAATACACTATACATACTTATGCTGAACTGGTTAACTTGTAGTCTGGCATGTTACAGTAAATTCTCCTTCTCAAAGGGATACTAACAAAACAACTTTAGCTTAATGGTACAGTTTTTGGTGTATAGATCATGCCCCATAGTCTCATTGCTAAATCCTCTGCCATTTAGGAGTTCAATCACTTTGTTTAGATTTTGGTTTCTGCAGATATAGCCACATCTCCACTGGCTGTGACACCTGGTTTATATGCAATAAAGGAAGCTCTAATATCCAAGCTTTGTGTTTGGAAAGATTGTTTGACTCACATGCTGGGAGGTGTGACTAGGGATGCATAAACAATGATTGATCTCCTGAATTGAGCAGGAAGACTGCAAGGGCATGATTTGTACACCAAAACTGTTTAATTATGCTAAAGCTGTTTTTGTGCTTGTAGTGGCAAATGGTTAATAAGAACCACACATTACTGTGGTGTGCCTCTGTCATCTCTCACCTACCTTCATTGTACTGCAGTACAGAGAAGGATTAAAATAACACAGGGCCCTGAGTAGATTTCCAGTCTGCCCCATTCCTCCTTCAGCTTCTAACCTTCTGACTTATTCTGCAGACTACCTTCTCATCCAGCACAGATGTGGAGGTTCCAGGTGGTCATTCAATCCGTATGGTGGCATCAGTGACAAAGGCAGAAATGGATGTACCGTTCAATGCCAAGATCCGCACCTTGTTTGGCTATGAGACCACCATCCAGGGAATGTGGAAAGGGGTCACTCACTACAACCTGATGGTCACCCAGGAAGACTACAAACCATGAGATGGATGGATCCTGTACAATCCTCTGTATGGAATATCTATCCTGTGGTTAAATGTTGTACAGACAAATCAAACTTTGCATATTTACATTCATGGTATAAGAGGAATGTCATGTTCTGTTTTGGTGTACAAAAACAAATAAAACTCGTGCATGTCTTGCAGTCCCTTGTTCCACTGACTTTTCAATCTGTTTGCTTTACCACAGGTAGAATGTTCAATTCTAGCTATCTTTCGTTATCTAAACTGTAAACCCTTCTAATGTCCAGTTTGCTTCACACTATAACCATCCTGACTAGTAGCCTAGAGGTTAGCCAAATGATATTCCATGAATGCTGTATAATGCAGGGATGGCTTTTTTTTTTTTTATTTTTATTTTTTTTGGTTAAAACTATAGAAAGAGGTATAGGTCATCAACAAATGTAATAAGTGACCATTAGATATACGGGCAGCTTCACACAATGCACGAGCGACTAATATAAACAGAAAAAATATGCTCTGTGTGAGCGCTCTTAACAGCCACTAGGAGACAAGTCTTGAACCCTCAAATAGGGACTGTCCCACTGAAATTAGGACAGCTGGCAGGTCTGATATGGTTATGTGTATATAAGAAAGTTCTGAAGTAGTAAAAGTGGGGCAGTCACAATGGAAACCAGTGAAATGAGCAGCCATGTTTTGGTGATCCCACGTTTCAGAACACAATTTCTATACATAATACCATATAGTTTAACAAACTAACCATCTCAAGATCATGTACAAGGACCTTAGAGAAGGTAAAGGAGCCACCAGAATTGCAGTTTTCTCTTTGTTTTAAAAAGAAAAAAAAATCTCCTTCACATTTCTCTAATTTTTCATGAGAAAGGAAACATGATAATGGCTTCCAGAGTTGGGGTAATGTGTATGACAAGTGCCCTTCCATTAATTAGAATACTCCACATTGCTGCCTATTAACCAAAGCTGCTAAGAACTCTGATTACACCATACCGCGGTACAATGGGAAACATATAATAAAGTTGCAGATGAGTGTAAATTTACGTGTTATCACCACTCACTTTGGCAAATTCATACTCACGCGCCTTTTTATTTTTTTTTTATTTATTTTTTTTAAACATAACCCATTTGCTTTATATTTTTTTTGTATTGCAATGGGCTCACCCTGTTTACATGAAGCTTTTTAAAAAAAAGCTCAACTGCAATTACAGTGGGACCTCAGTTAACAATTTTCGGTTTACAAATGAAAATCTATTGACAATGCCTCGGTTTACAAATTCTTTTCGCAATACAAAGCAAGTTTCCCAGGATGCATTGCACCTGGGAGGTTTATAGCACCGCCCCCTGCATGCTGGAGCCTGTGGGTAGCACGTGGCGTTGAGTGTGGAGGTGTTGGAGCGGCTTTTGCATCGAGTTTTGGTGCATTTCTCAAGCGGTGGAAGGTAGGGAGCTGAGCTTCGTCGTTTGCGTGCCTTTTATTGTGGGTTGGTTTCCATGCCAGCTCATTTTGACTTTTTTCTGACCTCCAGAACGGATTACTTGGTTTTCAATGCATTCCTATGGGAAACAATGTTTCGGTTTACAAATTTTTTGCAATAAGAAACGTCCCGGAGAACGCATTAAATTCGTAAACCGAGGTCCCACTGTTAATATATTTTATGGTAATATAAACTGACTATTTACTAATTAGCTCATGAAATGATGCTGGATCTGTTCATATTGTCTCCTCTTGAACAAGCATACAAAACTAAAATGTGTTAAATTTGGAGGAAGCCATACTGTCTCTGTGCATGTGTTGGCTTGGGGGATGAAAAATAACCTTTGGTCATTAACCAAGGAATCGTCCAAGAGCCTACACACTACAAGATATTTCATGGGGGTTAATGTGACGGACCACCTGGCACCCCGACGGCTACCTCTGCCAATTGCTGCTTCCTAGTAATCCTGGAGTACCATAAGCACCACACCAGACACCATAAACACCACAAACCGCCTCAGCTTGGTTGGGGTTTCGCTGTCTTCCACCCACCCACCCTGGACCCAAGACCAGGATCCAGATTCCAGTGGGTAGACCTCTCATAGTCCAGAGAGCAATCATTGTAATCCAGTATGACTTTGGCCCTTTAAGAACAATATAGGGGCATATTGAGACTTTTTGGAACAATGCTCCTTTAAAACAGTATCCCCAGACTGTGGAAATACTTTGTTCATGTCTTTTTCCCATATGGTTCCGTAAATGGGGCTTACCGAGCCAATTACCGAACAGGCGGACCACACACAAGGGGAAGTGTGCCGCCAATGTACCTCCCAGGCTGGTGATTAACCTTAGGTTAATTGCCAAACGTACAGTCAAACATGTGGCGGCGACCATCTTTGTTAGTCAAACGCGGTCAGCGGTGTTTTGCCGTCAAAGCCATGGAACTGAAAACGGCTACACGATGGCATGAACACCGCTGAACCTTACCTTACCTTTTCCACTTCGACGGAAATCGAAGTTATAATTGGATATTTGCACAAACGACAACCGTCCGTGCATTCGAATGGGACTTAGTATTTTTTCTATGTGAAATAGACCGACTGCACAGCCCAAATCTATGGAACTCTTTTGGGCAGGAAAGCCATGCTTGCGGTTGGTCAAATAGGACTTCCATCTATCTTTTGAACCACTGAACCAAATTGTATGATTTTTGAATATGTATGTATACTGATGATGCTGGTTCAGAATATGTAAATATGTAACTTTTATGGAAATTGCATGTATGGTTTGGAAGTTATGAATATTGTGTAAACCTGTATATTTTCCTGCCTGTAATAATTAAGTTAGCCCATTGTGTTTAGTAATTTTATCACAGTCAGAGGTAAGGGTTTGTGTGTATTAGCTGGGAGTGTCTGACTGTACTGTACGTTGTATTATTGGGGGGTAACCTTGTGGAGAAATGTGTATAAAAGAAGCCATAAAGCCCCAGCTCAGTCTGTTCCTGCTTAAATGCCAAACCTGTGTGTTGTCCTGTTATTGGAGGGAAAGATTTGCTCCTGTGTCTGCTGCTCCAGCTTACAGGAGATTTAAGGGAAGAAGGCTTGCTCCTGTGTCTGCTGTTCCAGCTTACAGGAGATTCACCAGGGAAAGTGCTTGTAAGGACTAGAGCTAATTCCCCTATTCGGCTGTGGGCAGAAGTGCAGCGGTTTGTCCCCTGTTCCAGCTAGGAAGCAGTCCTTTGGTGGAGGTACCCAGCTGGGGTACAGGGAGCTCTGCTACAAGTGATTATAGCAATCCCCAGAGTGGATATAGCTCTCCAATCCCCCAAACATGAACCTAGACTTCATGAAGGGTAAAACGAATCTGTTTAATGGCAGTCACAACTGGCCTTATATGCAAGTCCCCATGTAAGGGGCACTCCCCCCTGGACTATGAGAGTAGACTACAGTAAAAACATACACACAATTTCATTGGCTCTCAGGTCCAGGACACTCCCATACAAAATAGGTCAATCCCTCCCCTGTGCCTGGGAAATAATTGAGTCAGCACTGTATTAAACTCAGTTATCTCCAGGCACAGATAACATACATTTTTACAAAACCCCCAAAATACCTTTAACCACACAAAATCCCCACAAAAGTTAAATCCCCAATCTAGGTGACCAATATATCCAAAAATCACCCAGATCGGATTAGGGGTTCAGAAATTTCCTGGAAGTCATAATTTGATCGACCGCACATGAGGCCCCTGCCCAAAACAGTTCCAGAGAATAAGGGCTTGCGGTCTGTCTCGTTCTGTAGTTTAAAAAACGAACAAACTACCGAACATATTCAAGAGTCTTACCCTGGAGCTTGTTCTCCTTGGTCGTGGGAACGTTTCCACAGAACAGTGTATTCCTAAGTGTTATAAAACCGAACACAGGCGATCATGGAAGTCCAGCGGTGTTCTGGAGTTTCAGTGTCCGAAAATAGTTCCATGAACTCGACGACCAAACACCGCTGCCTGTGTTCATGCGAACAAGATGGCCGCCACCTCATGGTCGCCCATAGGAAATGCGTTCATCCAGATGAACACTTAGAACACTGCGATGGAAATTGATTAGGCTTAACAAGCTCCAGAGTGGTCTCCAGCTCATGCGGCTGTTCTATTCCCGAACCATACAGTCCAAATACACGAACTGAGATGTTTTTAGTGTATATTACAGGGCCCATAGTCTGTGGGCAGGAAGCTTGCAAACAGGCTCCTCCAGGAGCTCATGGCAAACTCACTTGGAAAGGGTAGTCTGTCACAGTTAATATTATGAGTGACCAACTGCTTTGTCTTTCCATGGCTTGTGGGATATGGGTAAATAATACATAAGATATTAACATTCCGTGGGACTTGAGAAAGGAGCAGTTTACCTCAGCCTCAGGAATCCCAAATCCCTTGGCCCCTCAATGTGCCATTCTCATTTACAAAATGCAAGGCTACTGAATGCACATTGAAGCTAGCTTTCATAGTGTCATACCCTAAAAACAACTTCCAGAGCATTGCCCCGTGTACCGTCCATCAATATGCCAATTATACCCAATTCAAGGCAAATGGAACCTTAGTGGACACTAACTAAAGAATAATTAAATCAGCTGCCTAGCGTGTCCCTAAATATGTGGCTGTGGGAGTTTCTCTGTAAAAAAAAAAAATATAATATATTGCACACAAACATTAAGCTACACCCTAATGCAGGAATGGAAGAATGACAAGTGAATTTTCCCTTATTAATCGAGGTAAAAAGGATCAAATGTGAGTATATACCCCATTGTTGCAAAGTTGTGTATCCACAACACACAAAGCAGGGCCGTCTTTTTTAAAAAATTATTATTCTTTATTTTGGTTGTGCATATAGGGTACTGGACGATACTGCATACTGTTAATCAACAATTGCATACATGTAGCGAGAAAGCTAAACAGTAGAGCTGATTCTGCACATTTTATGTTAAGTAGTCAAGCTAGAGAGACACAGTGCTAGTGCTGGGTCATAGAAAGTTAAACTAGAAATTAAGGGCTCTATGCCCATGAGTAAAAGTAAGTTAATGCAATTGGGAGATAAATAAAAACCACTGGATGCACAACAGACTGTCCTTGCTTCTACATGTACAGTATGCGACTTAAGAACAAACTATAGCAAGGCATAAACAATACATTAGGCAGAGCGTAAGTAGCATTTCTAAGCAAGCTTGGAGCGGCTGGGTTTGCTGTATATGGCACAATGGCATCAGCTGGACATGAGAGAGCCCCAGGGTGTGAACCTGTGTGCTGCCTCCTTAGCCATCTGTTTTTCAACCGATGCCAGCACTGAGGGCATATTTGTCGCTAGGCCGCAATTTTGTCGTTGAGGATTGTCCACCAGGAGATGCTTTGCAGGTTGTCAGATGCTTGACTGTTGGATCTCAGGGTGAGCAGGGAGTCAGCAGTGGTTCGGTAGCCCAAGTGTTAGGTGTTAGAGCTGTCAATAAGATCCATATGAACAGACTTGCTCCTGGAGCTCGTGCAGTGTGCGACCGTTCACCATGTCGGGCAAGCCCCCCCCCCAGCAGGGCCGTCTTTAACGCGGGGCAAACAGGGCAACTGCCCTGGGCCCAGTTACTCCTGGGGGTCCCAGAGCAACTGCCACGTGGGCCCCGCTGCCCGCAATGTATTTGAGCCCCATGGACCCGGAGGTGCGGCCGCACCGGCTCACACACAAAGTAAGGAGGCCCACAAGGTGGCCCATGTACTAAGGACCACCTGGTGGGCATGTGTCAGCAGGGGCCCGGTCAGGCGCTGTGCCACTTAAACAGCGCAACTGGGCCCCTTTCTGTTCGGCAGCAGAGTCACTTCCTCCCACAGAGAAATCAGAGCGTGTGGGAGGGGGGAGGCAGTGAGGAGGGGCCAGCCGGGAGTGCCGGAGCCTAACTCCCAGGTGCCTCAGCTTGCCACTAGACCCCAGGGAAAACGCCCTCCAGAAAAAGGTAAGAACCTGGAGGGTGGCTAAGTGTAAATATGGCATGTGTGTGTATCAATATGTCTGTATGTGTGTCTGATTGTGTCAGTATATCTGTCTGTGTGTCTGATTGTGTCAGTATGTCTGTGTGTGTGTCTGATTGTGTCGGTATGTCTGTGTGTGTGTGTGTGTGTGTCAGTATGTCTGTCATTTTGTGGGTCAGTATATGTGTCTGTGTCTGTCAGTGTGTGTGTCAGTATGCGTCTGTGTCTGTCAGTGTATGTGTCCGTATGGCTGTAAGTGTGTTTCTGTGTCAGTATGTCTGTCTGTTGGTGTTTGTGTGTCTGTGTGAGTCACTATGTCTGTCAGTGTGTGTGTTTTAGTATATGTGTCTGTGTCTGTGTCTGTCAGTGTATGAGTCACTATGTCTGTCAGTGTGTGTGTTTTAATATGTGTCTGTGTCTGTGTCTGTCAGTGTATTAGTCACTATGTTTGTCAGTGTGTGTGTGTCAGTGTATGTGTCAGTATGTCTGTCAATGTGTGTGTTTGTATATCTGTCAGTGTCTGTGCATCTGTCAGTGTGTCTGTGTGTGTCAGTATGCGTGTGTGCCAATATATGAGCCAGTGTGTGTGTCAGTATATGTGTCTGTGTGTGTGTCTGTCAGTGTTTGTATGTCAGTATGTCTGTCAGTGTGTTTGTCAGCATGTGTGTCAGTCTGTCTGTGTGTGTGTGTGTCAGTATGTCTCTCAGTTTGTGTCTTTGTGTGTCAGTATGTCTGTCAGCATATCCCAGACACTGCCTGACATACACACAAAATGCACAAAATGCACATTCCCAGACACAGAGATGCACGAATACTCACAGACTTATAGATACACACTCACAGACATACAAACACAAATATACATTCCAAACTTGCTCAAGAATACACACAGATATACACTGACAGGCACTCTCAGGTACACACTAGCTGCTAGCACATACACACACTTGCACATTGTCAGACAGACAAACACAAACACCACAGGCACAGGCATATACACAGATACTGATCTGCACTGACACACACTCAGTCAATCAATCAATATGTGTGTGTTTGCGTGTGTATGTATGTGTGTGTGTTTTTATGTCCAAAGAGGCTACAGAGGCTGCAATGTGAGTTAATATGGACAATGTTGTGGCAAAGCGCCAACATACATAATATACATGGTGCAAGATATATGAAAGGATTATACAATACTGGTTTCTTATCTGTAACTTAATTATTCAGTAAATATAGATATATTTTAAACTTTCATATTCAACAAAAATACGTGTTTTGTTTCTATTAGAATAATGTGCTATCCATGTTGTGACGGTAGTCACCATCACCTGGACCTTCAGACAGACTATTTATGTAGGCTGCTTTATTTCTCTTATGTTTTAGTCACCCTGTACCCATTATAGGTGCAGGGTGTGTGTAATGTAATTGTTTATAATGTGTGTGTATACTGTTAAATGTTTTTGCCTGCTCTCCTGTACTGCTGAGGATTGCTACCAACTAGGTGGATTTGGCTATGGAGCCTGTGTAGTGCCTTCTGTTGGTAGCAACAGCAATATGCACTACCTGAATAGCGAGGCTGGTTAATTTGCATATTCAGGTAGATTTGCATATTGCTATTTCTGCAGGCAGGGGATATGTTTTATGTTACTTATTGTCTTTCCCACCCCTTTATAAATATGTCATTATGTTATTATATGTTCCTGTATGTTGTCTCATGTGATTTGTATTTTTATTGAGTTGTCACAGCAATCTTAATGTAATAATCCAGTCCCGAAGAAAATAAAGTTTTGCATGTCAGTTCCTTTTGGTATTTGTGTCCTGTGTGACAGAGTCTTCGGACATGTTTGCTGGTTGCAGAATCCCTCTAGGCCTGGGATAAAGCAAGCGAGCTAGGCTGGAGAACCGCAACTGCCTTTGTAAAGGCAATAACTATAATCACTGTAAGCAGAGCTGCAGCGGAATAGGCAGAGGGGATGATACCTGCCTGGAAGAAAGGCTGCAGCGGAATAGGCAGAGAAGATGATACCTACCTGGAAGGAGAGCTTTGACCACTGGAAGCTGGACCTAGGACTCTGATCCTGGGTGTGAAGCAGCGGCAAGACCGGGCCAAGCTGCGGCGGCTAGGGGCTGAAGTGCTGAGGGTGTCCCGGTGATAGCTAGGAAGTGTGTATGGCGGGGTACCAGGCAGTCCACCACACATGTACATTGAAACAGCAAAATACAGTCACACAATACTCAATAATCACAATGGTTCCTGGTGATTTTCTTCTAGCAATTTGCTTGGAAGTAAAGATGTCAACACTCCATAATTACCATCAAGCCTATTCAGAAAAGCAGTAACACTTCAGAAAATGGGCATCATCTGTCTCTCCAATCACCTGCTGTCATTTACCATATAGTCCGATTTGGGGACTGTATAATTGGAGGAGAATGGGGTGTATAACAATTTGGTTATCATACTTGCAGTTCCAAATATGACCAGAGGGAGGCATTGGAAACATGCTGCAGCCAGTTCTTCAGGAATCATTTGTAATCTGCCTAGATTCCTATTTTTATGAAACCAACTTTATGGCGGTTTATAGGGACAGACATCCACAAGAGGCACTTCCTCCATTAATGAAACACCAAGCACCATAACCAGTGCAGCCACATTGAGTGTTCTATACAATGTAATGATGTGATAGGCTAATAGGGCAGGATATTCTTTTTTATTTTAAAGTAGTGAACATAAAAAGAGTTACCAACATGTAATGTGGTCTTTTATGTATTATCAGCACAGGAAGATGGATCACCTGTTATAAAGCTGTGACTCCTGCTGCCATAAAGGGTCAGATTAACCCGTTAGCAGAGCATGTCCCACCGGGAGCACCTGTTTTCAGCATGTGTACCTTTCTGGAGCTTAAACAGTATAGCTTTAGGAGTACAAAATATAATATATAATAGCTTATGTAATGGATCGACGGCACCCCGACTGTGTACCTCCGTTGATGGATGCTCCTAGCACTTCCTGAGGGCTTCAAGCACTCCAGCCGACACCATAACCACCGTAGACTCCTCCAGAGAGCAAGGCAGAAGCAAGCTCTTAAAAGAGTTTAGGAGTGATTATAGCAAGGGAATATGCAGAGCATAGCAATCCCTTGTAGCAGATTCCCCCAATAAGAGACGGCACTCCAAATTGAGGGTGAAGTAGAACTGAAGCTTTTAATCAAACACTCTGCTTTTATGCATATTTTACACACATAGTACTGCCCACAGGGTTTTGCAGAACAACCAATCAATATGTACGATACACTCAGACACTCCCACACAAAATCCTCCCCTCTGCCTGTGATATAATTACTGAACACAATGGTCCAACTTAATTATCACAGGCAGGAAAATACACAGTTTTACACAATATTTATAACTCTAAAAGTATACATCACATTCACATAATTCACTTACATTTTCAGAATCAGCATACTCCAAATACAAACATACGTCAAAATCATACAAATTGGTCCAGTGGGTCAAAAGTTTGTTGAAAGTCCCTTTGTGACCATCTGCAAGCATGGCTTGGGTGTGGTAAGCCAATTACCTCCAGCATACAGAAAATGTCTCTATTCACAACAACAGTAAAAACACATAAAAATACATAATTCATATTATACTTAATAGAACCCCCACATTCAACCTATCCCCAGATAGCTTGGATCTGAGCGCTCAATATATCCAAACAGCGCTCAGATGCCACAACCACAGTCAAATCGCCATGGGGTTAAAACACAGCAAGAGCTGATGAGAGACCGAGGAGGGGCAAAACAGCAAGTTCCAACTGGTCTGGCAGTGTGCCTGGGACAACACCCTGCTGGAGCAATAGACAGGAAACGGGGGAGGGGAAGAGACACATCTTCCCATGTATTCAAAGGGCAGAAACAGTCTTTTAGAAGCCAATAAGCCCCAAATAGTCTTTTTAAATGGCAATACATCCCAGGGCCATAGTCATGAGGAAGGAGGCTGGCAATCAGGCTCCTCCAACAGCCAGGGGCAAAGGGCAGTTGGTCATTTTGTCACAGCGTACTACTAGCCTCCCATAGGGAAGCACTGGGAACCAAGTTTGAGTCGGTTCTAAGTGCAGAAGTACCTCTTCCTAAAAGTCGCTAGAGGTGTGTTTAACCCTGCAATGGAAATATGTCAGATTCTATAAATCTGTAGAATTCCTGGGTTAAAACTAAAGGGCCACTGCACCTAGACCACTTCATAGGTAGAGATAAGCACAAGGAGCCTTGGCCAGCCTCCTAGGTTTGATAGAAAACCTGCAGGAACCGCGATATAGAATGTAGAACTCAGTGCTGTAATACAGTTATGAGAAACGTAATAAGGATATACAATGTTGCTGCTATGGTACTTTATTTTTTGACTTGCTTTATTTTGTTGTGCAATGATTGAGAAACAAGAGGTTGCAGTGACAGTACAGGATATATCACCTTTTAGGAAAACATTATTAACACATGTGAGTCAGTGTAAAAATAATAAAAGAGATTATATACTAAGGTAGACAGACTGACTGC